AGGTAAAAATTATTTGGCAATCTGGTTTGCACATATAATTTAGCTGTCGACGATAGAACGTGATTATTAATTTAAATAATCTAAATAATCTATTTAGATTATTTAATCTAAATAATCTAAAATACGTCAACACACACCTATTATCTTTTTACTCTTTATGGCTACCAATTATCTGTTACTGTTGTTTTCCCTTCATCACGTGAGAAGCCATTCTCGTTGGCGCACTGATCAATATGCAACGTCAAAAAATTCTCCAAAGGCCTTTTCGTTACGAAAAAGAGGTCAATCCTGATTCGACAATTTCCGTGCGCGTTATATTTTATCCGAGATAGAATCGGTTCGTCTCCACATTTGATCGAGCGAATGCAAGAAGCTAAAAATACATTTTATCGCGCCATTTAGTATTCCGCAAGTCATAAAACAGGTCGCTACTCGCATACAATCGTTAATAATACGGATAAATTTATTAGCGCGAGAGATGCATGATAAGTACGCGGCAGATAAGAAGAGTCTCTCTCTGCAAGCAAGTCACCGCATCCCACTGATGGACTCTGGATCTAAAAGCGAACGTTTATGTTTCGGTCTCAGCTCCTCTCCAGTGAATTTTTAGACTGTCGGGATTATCTATAGTTATTTTTGTACAACTCTCCTGACTGACGCTGCGATTCCCCCTCGAAGAACATCTATTTACGAAAATCACATAACATTTATTTGTAAATGGTAGCAAGAAAATCTATCGTAAAAAAATTGCTTGAGTTTGAAATGACATTTTAACCATCTGACGACAATTCCTACTTTGCATGACGCGTTCCGCCGCGCGAGAAGTGATTTATAGGTTTCGAACTTGAGAAAAGGTATAGGAACAAGTGGAACGATGGGTGGGAGATTGAAAACGTTAACGGGAGCAGCCGGCGCTGCAGTGAAACAATATATAGACACAAATAAAAACGAAGCTGCCATACACTTTGACACATATACTTCGACCGCTGTCGCACTTCGCGGCACGGACGACAGCAGATAAAACTTTTGTTCCGGTGAAAGCAAACGAGCTCGTGCGAATCGCACCGTAACGAGCGTAAAATTAATTTATCCCATCTCACGTGAAATAACTCAAGCAGTCAAGTCGAGTTTATACGCTCGGTTAAAATCATTTGTAATAAAATCTGACGCCTGAATGACGATCGAAAGACCATGCAACCGACGACGATGATACCGATTATCATGTAACGCTGTATGTATGAAAACAGACGGCTCTCCGGTTACGAAATAAAATGAACGAGCATAACGTATAGGATCGTTAACTTTCTTCATGCAGCTCGAGTCTGGAATCGTAATAGTCCTATGGTTGTAATTAATTAGTTATATTTTGATGAGTTCTTCAAAAAATTCGCAACGGGCGGACGCGCGCGCGCAAGCGATATAGAATCGCTTTAGATCGAAAGCTCGGGATCGTTAATGTATGCGGATCACGTGTACGGTCAAGTAAATACATCTGACAGAGATAGTTTTCGGGACCGCAAGGGGCGTCTTCTCGCGAAGGCGTAGGTTAATAACGCCGTAGCGAACCGCGTGACCGCATCAAAACAACCACAGCGGAGATTGGAATCCGTCAGGACGAGGCGTGCATCTCGCAAGAGGATGTAGGGGTGTCACAAGGGTGGAGGGTTTCACGGGTGGGTTGCTGCGAGCTGTGTGCAGCCGCGACCTGACTCGGTGTCGAGGATGAAGGTCGTGCTCGGTGTCTCGAGTGGATCTTTTCAAACGGGCCGACTAACGAGTGCCGAAGTTTCCTGCGACGGGTTTTGTTCCGCACTGCTTACACGGCCGTCGACAAAGCGCGAACTCGTATAGACCCCGAGATACGCGTCCCCCATGAGGGTGGGTGTAACCGCAAAATTTCTCCCTGTGCCGAGGTGCAAAAGCGTTCGCCACTTCATAAATGCTCTATTTATCGCCGCACGTATAATTTCGAGATTCTGATTTTTCGATAATTGTCAATTGCTGAACACGTATTACTGGAACTTTTCGGAATGGATTCCGATCAGAATTGTTTAATTATTTCCTAGATTTCTGTTGTGTTTTCGAGGACAAATACGGAATAATTTCGATCGAAATCCATTACGAAAAATTCCATAATACATTTGTCTTGATATGAAATGTTGTTCGTATAATCTTGATATATGAACGCTCTTGTTCTTTTACCCTCGATCGTTTTTAGTAGACTTTCTCTCTCTCTCTCTCTCTCTCTCTCTCTCTCTCTCTCTCTCTCTCTATCCTAAAATCTCCGATGCTCCTCTTACATTTGAGCGTAGATGTGATAAAGCAACACGTGAAACTAGGGCTTCGGCTGATGCTCTAATCCAGCCACAATGTCGTACAGAATTTTACAGACGCTCCTTCGTATGCACTGCTGCTGAGTTCTGGAATCGCATCCCTACCGATATATGTCATGCACCCACCCTTGGCACTTTTAAGCAAAAACTTTATGACTATTTACTCTGTAACAATTACTGACATCTATTACGCTGTATAACTATTGTAAGCGAAT